GGTAAGGACCCGGTGCCGCCGGGAGCGTGGAGGAGGGCGGGAGGGGCTCTCTGCTGGGGATGGAAGCACTTAGCTGCTGCAGGAGGAGCGCTGCTGAGATTAAGCTCTTGCTGTTTGTGAGGGGCAGCCTGTGTATGGGGGCACAGCCAGCCTGTGCTGGCACTGAGGGGGCAGGAGGCTCGGATCTCTTTGTGCTGGTTGGCAAATATTTGCAAAGATTTCTTTTTCTGGTATTTAGAATAGCCCTCCTGGTATCAGGTGGCTGCAGAGACTACAGGGTGAGAGACTAGGAGGGGGCTGGGCTCCACAGCTGAGCATCATCTTCACCCAGGGAACACAACTTCTGTGTGTCCTGTTAGAAACTATTTTTTGGCTCAGAGAATGGGTTTAGCGCAGGCTGTTTAAATCCAGAGACCTCCTAGTGGCAGTCAGTAAAGGCCTCTGAATATTGCCCTCTAAAGTATATAAAGTGGTGAGGTATACCCAGGGGTTTACAAATGCAACTGAGCTTTTTGTATGTTAGACTTGCTGGGATCCTTGATAATAGCAGATGTGTGGGGCATCACTGCAGAAAGAAAAAAAAAAATCTAAGTCTGATGCTTAAAGCAGCTGGATTTGATTCTTTTGTATCTGGGTTGCAGGGATTCCTGCAGTGGAAGTGAAAATGGCCGTTTCCTCTCAAGCTGCCCCAAACTGAGTGATGTCAGACAAGCTCAATGTGTGAAATCTCCTTCCTGGAGCTGCTGGGAGATCTCCAAAGCTACACAGTTGATGGGGCCTTCAGTGAAGTTAATTAACCTAGAGTCTATAGCAATAACCCTTGGCAGCCAGCCCAATATAAACATGGTCTTGTGCCCCCTTTCACAGCCTCGGAGCATCTGTCTAACAAGAAGGCAATCATCCCCAGTGCTTAACCCTATAAGGGCTTTTTTTTTTTTCCCAGGTTGGTTATATAGAAACCTGATGAGAAAGAATCAGAAAGCAAATCTTCTTACCTACTGTATGCAGTTTACTTCTCTGTTGCCTTTCTTGATTTGTTTTTCAGCTGTTTAATGCTTCTAGCCTCATATACCGCTCATTTTTCCATCAGCTTCTTTCTTTAAGCTATGCCAAAAACTGCTTTACATCTGGGTTTTTACTATTGTTTCTCACATCCTCTGATGCCCCTAGTATGATGTGTGAGCAGTCCTACAGGCTCACAGTGATGAAGCTTTTTCGTACTCCCTTCTCTGCGTCATGGTTCATACAAAACTTTCCTACTTTGCTCCTGTACACCTAAGCCTTAGTCCACCGGACGCTTTGCAGAGACTGTGCCTTCCTTCCCCTGTTGCTAACTTGAAAAATATCTATTTTAAACAGAAGTATTTTAGTTATTCTACAGTATATCATTATTTGTAACTGTTAATACGTTTGTATCTGACTTATTAATTCTCAGACAGTGCTCTTGGACCTAGTTTTCCAATGAGCTGAGGAATTAAGGAGTACCTAGTCTTATTCAGTAGCATTCAGCCCCAAATGATCTTGTATGGGGCTCTGCATCTAGAAATCAGTTTTAGAAATGGTTTTGAACCTAGGTGTTCATGATGCTTTCAGAGCTAGACCTGATCACATCTGTATTCAAGCTGGTAAGGGTTCTCTGGGAGGATTTGTCACTTAGTAAGAGTTTTTCTGAGTGTCTACAGGCCAATACACTGCACAGTAAGTAGGAGCAGAGTATCTCCCCATGAGCATGGTTGCGTTGCTAAGTGAGCTGATTAGTGCAGCACATAGAGCGGCACTGGCTCAGGGCTGAAAAGCATTGATCTGGAAACCCCGCTCCCGCGGGAGCTCAGGCAGTTGCTGTCAACTCAAGGGCCTGTGACTTCTCTACCATTCCCTGGTCTGATTTGTACTTGGATTTTTCAAGTCCTTTTGGCTCTCAAGCCCCAAAATGCCTAAATGAACATAAAACCTCTTGTATGGATCGTGTAGTCCAAGCTGTCACCTGCTGTGAGTATTGGCAGAAATCACCTTCTTGGAAGAAGCTTTCCACTAACTAGAGGCTTATGACCTAATGGAGAAGGGAATAAATCCTTCCCTAAACTCTTGCTTCTCAATATTATGAAGCCTTTTAAATAGCTTTTAGTAATAAATAGCTGATAAAGAAGTACATTAGTATGCAAGAACTTGCTTGCAGATATGTGGCATGCTTGATCTGGGAAAGGATGCTGGCTTTGCTGACTGTGTCTCACTTGAATTAATCTGCTGACCTCCAGCAGCTGAAAGAATAAACTGCTCGTGATTCTGTGAGCTGCTGCCCTCTGTTGCGCAAATCCAACACAACACTGACACTGTCCCCTGGTATGAGGGAGAGGAAATAGTAATACACTTGGTGGGAGTTAATGCCACCCATCTTCCTTGGAAAAACTCATGAGGAGTTATGTTGGTTATGTGTGTAACTGAGGCACAACAACGGCTGTGAAGGGCGAAACGCCAATGTTGTACGTCCCATCGCTGCTGAAGGTATAGAGTGTTTCTCAGTTTGTGGTATTACAGGAGTATTCTAGACCGCCTTTAAAGTGTGGCGGGAAAATGCATATCTCCACTGCAGAAGTTACCTGGATTTCTATGTGCTGATAGACAAGTGAAGGACACGTTTCAAATATTAAGACTTTTCTTTGCTATAATGAATATGGGGGGGGAAAAGATTGAAACTTCCTCATTGAATAGAAGATTAATCTTAATTTAGTCTCCAAGTTAAGGATCTTGTATTAAAAAATTTAATAACACTTTTTCTTAATTCAAGGATGACCTCTCAACTAGTCCTCAGCTGTTTAATTCCATGAGCCCTTATGATGTAGACCTTCCAATTCAAACAACTGAAGATGTGTTGTTCAGTTCTCAATTTAATCAGTCCAAAGAGCTTCCTGCAGACTTCTCCTCTGTGGATCTCAGCTTTCTTCCAGATATTACTCAAGATAACAAAGAACAAAATCTGTCTGAAGATAGTCATGAAATGCAAAAAGAGCTTGATGGCTCAGTACCAAGAAATGAGGACAGTGGTATCTTTGTGGATGAAAGCAGCTTGTCATATCCAGATGCCGCTCAGCCATCTCCTGAAGCATCTGACGTGTGTCCTCCTCTGACACCGATGACTCCTATGACTCCGGTGACACCTGCATCAGAAAGCTCTGGCATAGTTCCTCAGTTACAGTAAGTTTATGTATTAGATACGTAGCAGATATAATAGTCATAGTGTCGCTTAAACGGCAAGGTACTGCTCCGACTTCTCATTTAAAAAACGTGGCAAGCATGGTTTGTCTTAAACAAGCCCACACAAAAAACTAGAGGGGCAGTTAGTCCTCTTTGAGGAGAGGTGGAGTAAGTGGACAATACTGGAAGGCAACTGGATCCTGTGCTGACGAGTGCAATATGAAAATGTAAGTGGCACAGAACAATACCCAGCTTAGCAAAACAGAGGAGAGTGGATTTGATAAACATGCTGGGTGAGTGAGTATCTGCAATGCCTCTGGCTTGTTAAGGGGGAAAAGTCCTTTCTGGGAGACAGGAAATGAAGTCTCTCCATGGGAGAACTGTTCGGTAAAAATTATTATATATAGTATGTACTACTAGTTACTTCAGTCTGCAGGATGAAAAGACAAAAATACTTGAAAAGGAGGATTTCTTCCAGCAAGGAGAATGTTAAGGATGACAGCAGACTCCAGGGTTTAAAGACGTCAATCTGCTTTTGAGTGCAGAAGCAGTCTGAACTGAGCAAGGGAAAGGGGCATGAAAAGAAGTGAGAGAAATTCTGGCCTTGTTGAAAGATCCTGTCCAGGATAGAGCAACTATGGAGTAGTTTATACTACTTCAGCATACCCTTACCTACCTTAAGAGTGCTGTAGTAACTCTGTAAACACTCAGTAATGGTCCAATTCAAAGCTGTAAAAGACTTCAGTGATGTAGTTACTGGAAGACACACAAACTTGTATTCAGGGACTAATAATTTTGTACCTTGTTATATATCAGAAACTGTAATTTTGGTATTAAATCACTTAAGTTTTGCCAAAAGTAGCTTAATGCTAGAGTAGGAAAGAGGTAGGCAGGAAATTAGTTGATAGCAATTATTAATTGGAGTGTGACTTCACATTAAGTTAATAATATTGAGGGTTGGCTCTGCAGTGGCTTGCTTTTGTAATAAGAAAATTCCTCTCTCGTTCCCCAGGAATATAGTGTCAACTGTAAATTTGGCTTGTAAACTAGATCTGAAGAACATAGCTCTGCACGCCAGAAATGCAGAGTATAACCCAAAGGTAAATCTTAAGGACTCAAAGCTTTACCTGCATTCCCCTTTCTCAATCTCAGTGCTGCTAGATTCTAACCGTGAGCTTTGTCCCTTTTCTAATCACACTGTCTTGACCCATAGGGGAAAGTCATAAAATTCTGTAACTTGGGCCTGTTAAATTAAAAGAAATATGGGGGACCACAAGGGTATTAATTTATTTTTTTAATAAAACCCTAGCAATGAAATGTTACCAAGCTGTTTAAGAAAGGAGATGAACTTGTGCGCCTGTGGCTAGCTACCTCCAGCTGAAAGGGCTCAAGCAACCCCTCCCTCACCGTGGGGTTAAAACTCCTGTCTGAATTAAAGAGAATCCCTGGAGTCAGACTGGGATTACATGATACTTTTAGCAAGTGGCCCAGACTGCACAAACTTACTGGGAATAGACTGGGTTTCTGTAAGTGACTCCAGGCTGCTCACAAAAATAGAAGAGACAAGGTTGTAGTCGAAGCCCCCTGGTCCTAGAGGGGTGGAAAGTAACTTCAGAGTGGCAAATAAACACTTACACAAAGCAAAGTGACTGTTCTTGAAAGAATGAACAGTGATATAGTACTGGCAAAATCCCTCAGCTGGACTGTGAGGTCTTCCTTTGAATTTGTAGAGGTTTGCTGCTGTGATCATGAGAATCAGGGAACCACGAACAACAGCTCTCATCTTCAGTTCAGGAAAAATGGTCTGCACAGGAGCAAAAAGGTATTTTTTTGTTTTTCTCTCCCTCTAAAGGTCTGGGTCTTGCAGCTATGCCTATATTCTGATGAAGTATGTCAGAAAACCTTGTTTAAATTATCTAGCAAAGGGCTGTCATAATTGCAAGAAAAATTCTGTATTGCAAAATGTCTAGCTTCATGATGACAGTTCAGCAATTACTGAAGTTCATGCTTCTGTCCCTGAATATAGATTGAGCTGAGCCGACACTAGCAGAAAAGCTGCTAAAATGCCCCAGAATTGTTAAGGGGTTATTTGCATTTCTCACCGACTTTCAAGTGAGTTAGGACATAACTTGTGTCTGTCAAGTCTCTCTTCAGTGTCTGTTCACCAGTCAACACATCTGCCTCTAGAGGAAATGAGAATTGGAGAAAAACAAAGCTTAGTTCTGTACTCTGAAGCTTTTTTTCATCAAGTTCAGCAGCTGCCTTGGTTTTTATGTCCCTAACCTGTCAATGAGATAATGCATTAACTTACAGCTTAGGAGACCTCTTCTCCAGCCCCACCCCAACTAGCTAGATGATTGTACTGGTGTCTGCTGTCTACTTCTTGGCTCAGCTGAGAAGCTGTTGTAAGGAACTGAAAAATAAACCTCTGAAAAGGGGAACTCCTGGGTGATGCAACGTGCTCCAGCGTGTTCAAAGAGACCACAGGAAAGTGAATGACAAAGTGCCTTATTCCTTTTAGCCACTGAAGTGGCTCTGGGGATAGAGGCTTGCTATTTTGAGCAGTAGCGTATCTTTCTCTGGAGCACAGATTAGCACGGTGGTGGCTCTAAACTGACTTCCATCTGGAGAGCAGAAGAAAGCACTAATCAAAGCTGCTTTCCCCTTCTGCTCTTCCCTCAGTGAAGAGCAATCACGGCTCGCAGCCAGGAAGTATGCACGCGTGGTGCAGAAGCTTGGGTTCCCTGCCAAGTTCCTGGACTTCAAGATACAGAATATGGTTGGGAGCTGTGATGTGAGGTTCCCCATCCGGCTGGAAGGCTTGGTTCTCACTCACCAGCAGTTCAGCAGCTATGTGGAAGTCAGAGTTACAACCCCATGTCACTTGCAGCGGTGTCTTTGTAAACTGCAAACAGCCTCAAATTCTGAGGCTGTAAAAGCCTCACAAAGGAGAGGAATTAACTGGATACTGAATATCAAACGTGTCTTTTGCTCACCAAAAGATATGCTCACTGATTCAGCAAGCTTGAAGTGGCTGTAGATCCTACATGTTACAATAAAGACAGTCACAGAATCACAGGCTGGTCGGGGTTGGAAGGGACCTCTGGAGATCATCTAGTCCAATCCCCTTCCTAGAGCAGGATCACCTAGAGCAGGTTGCACAGAATCGTGTCCAGGTGGGTTTTGAATCTCTCCAGAGGAGGAGACTCCACAACCTCTCTGGGCAGCCTGGCCCAGTGCTCAGTCACCCTCAGAGGGAAGAAGTTTTTCCTCATATTGAGATGGACCTTCCTGTGTTCCAGTTTGTACCTGTTGCCCTTTGTCACTGGGCATCACTGAGAAGAGTCTGGCCCCTTCTTCTAGACATCCACCCTTTAGATATTTATAAGTATTGATCAGTCAGGTTTTTTTCTGCAATAAGCTCTGATCTGAGTGGGGCACAGGCCAAAATGACCCTTGGCTTCATTGCCAGGATGACATACAGCTGCTAGCAGGAAAGCTTCCAGTGCTTGAAACCCATGACTGACACAATTCAGCTGTGAAGGGCTCTTCTCCATTGCTCACCTGTGTGGTGTTCACTGCTTTCCCCTTGTGGGGACACCAGAAACACCAGCTTTAGAAACCCTGCAGCTGAGAGCATCCTATACAAGCGTTCAGTCACTTCTGGGGTAAACTGGATGCACATTAGATCTAGTTAAGATAATGGGCTGAAGAACTGCAAGAAGCTCCTGGGTCCTTTGCTCAGTTAGTTAATGAAGATATTCTCTTTTACAAAAGCTTTCTTTGACCGTGAATATTGTTGGCGCAATCTTTGGTGTTGCTGCATATCAGCAATGCACACCAGAAATTTTCATTAATCTGAGCAGTGTTGGTGATCACAATTTTACTAGTTTCTTGTTATTGCCAAGTGCAATATCAAACCTTAGTGGGTATTTTTCTTCACTGCAGACCATGTCAATAGGAAAATAAGCAGTCTTGATTAAACACTTCAGGTTTAATTGGAGTAGCTCTTAAGCTACTTGAACCTGGTCTATGTCCTTGCTCCATTGTGAATCTTTAATACTAAGCAGGCCTCTTAACTCCTGTTAAACCAATGCTTATCTGCAAGGATAAGGTTTCTAACCTTCAGGCATAAAGCCAGACTGTAGCTTCAAAATACAGAACTGAAAATATAGCGTGTTTCTAGGATATAACTTTGGTTCTTTCTGCTTGAATGTCTACTAGCCATCAATTTAAAGTAAATCTGTACTGAGTAATGGGCCTGCTGTGCCTTCAAGATGGGCTTGTTCAGAACTAGTTATTGCAATCACTGACAAAAGGATGAAGATTTCAGCACTGACAAAATTAAAGTGTGTCCTTTATTAGCACTGCATTTCATATTTTGCATTTAATTTGGGGACTAAAGATATATTAAAGATTCACTTGGCTGCCATCTTGTCTTAGTTGGACAAGATGCTTCCTGATAAGGGCTCTTTGCAGGCTAGGGAGGATTTGACCAAGATTGCCATAATGGTCTCAAGGCTAAGGAAAATCACCTTCAGATGTGGCTCAGGAGCCTTTAAAAGTAAGCATGAAGAACTCCTACCAGCTCCAGCTGGGATTGCCAGGTTTTTCCTGAAGATGTCTAAAAGCTGACCTGCCTTTCTCTGAGGAGCTAGCTAAAATCTGTGGGTTTAATTACTCTATTGTTAGTGTAATTAAAGAGCACTTTATGCATACAACACTGAAACAATATTTGCATTTTACTAATCTTGCCTGCTTGCTTTGAAACAGCTATGAACCTGAACTATTTCCCGGCCTTATTTATAGGATGGTCAAACCAAGGATAGTGCTGCTTATCTTTGTGTCTGGAAAAGTTGTACTGACTGGTAAGTGGTCTCCCTCTGTGTATCTGTAATCAAGTGCTACCACGGCTTCTGAGAAAGCATTTAAATTGAACATTAGCTAAACTAATATCTTGCCACAGTAAAGCCACTCAGCAATCTTTTTAATGCCTACTGCTGCTTATCTGTGTTTTCTGCAGATAACAATATCGGTACTGTTGCACTAGAATCTCATATTGCATCATATAGCGTCTCAGACTTCCATGTTGTTAAACTTGAGTATCTTTATTTAAAGCATAATACCATGTGTTGATTTACAGAATCCCAACAGGATGCTGACGTTCTAGTAACTACTCGGTCACTTAAATACTGAGTATCACAATAAGCAATTTAAAATTGCTTGGACAGGAAGCAAACTTCTTGAACCACTTCACTGACAACATTGAGTTGGGATTATTAGAGGAAAGGGTGGAGATCTAAGAGGTTGTTCCAGACTGTTTGGCAAAACACTCATGAGGCAAAAGCCTTGCTGAGTAAGTTGCTTGCTCAGATCTCATATCAAAAAAAAGTTGAATTCCTGAGTGCATGTTCCTAACACATTCTGTTGTAAAGCTCATGAAAATACTTTTATTCAGCTGTACTGAAGGGTTAATGGTACTTGTTCCTAGAGGACCTGAATGCTATACGTATATTCACAACACAGCTTTGAAGTATGTGAAAGACCAGAGAAGTGCCTGCCTTAGCCAGAGATTCTTGCCCTCGTAAATCATGAATGAGCTCAGCTAACTGAAGGATTGTGCACTCAGTACAATGCTTAAATGCTTCCCCTTCCTTCTTAGCTCCAGTAAAATCATACTGGCCAGTTCCATTCCACTGAGGCTTGCATTTTTGGGTACACTAGCCACAACCCCCTCTGGAGTAATGACAAAACTGAACTTGCTGAGCTGTGAGGTTTTTTTTCCCTAATCAAGAAAGTAACTTGAAAGTAACTTTACTTTTAAAAGTAAAAGTTGTAGTAATGCAGATAAACTAGTCACATCGAAGTGTGTTCCGAGAGAAAGGTTTATATACCCCAAGTGCCACTTAATCCAACTGCTAGTTCATTTAAAGGCAGTTTCCTTGTAGCTACTGTTTCCTACACTGGCGTGGTAGAGTAGCCTTGCTGGCAAGGAATGCTCCTGCCTACTGCAATACAGTTAGTGTACAAGACTTGGTATTAAAGAATCACAGTAAGATGGAAGAGGCTGGCTTTGAAATCACAGGTGCCCTAACAAAGCTTAAAAATCAAAAAAGCTTCTCAGAACTGGAGGAGGGGAGTTGTCAAACTGTGCATCAACTTTCAGTGTTGGAATAAATGCCTTTCACTTGTTGTTTCTATCTTTCCACTTACCTTATCAACAGGCAGAGCTGTTACTGTTAAACAGATAATACCATGGTTCTCAGTTGTTGTTTTGGGTTGTTTTTTTTTAAAGGTAGCCAACTCCTGTTTTGGTTCCACAGATTAAACAAAACTAGTCATAAAGCAAAGCAAGCTAGAAATGGTTCTTTGTGAAGTGGCAAATGTGTGGTAGAAATTCTGCCTTAAACTAATAGCAAGTTGCTTTTAAACTCCTGTGTTTCTTCATGGTTTGTTACCTTATTAGGTTTGAGGTGCATTTGGTTATTCTCAACACTCAGTTAATTCTTAACCTTTTTTTTTCTAAACGTCTTTCTAGGAGCAAAAGAGCGTTCTGAAATCTATGAGGCATTTGAGAACATCTACCCCATTCTAAAAGGTTTCAAGAAAGCATCATAACGTGGCCTATAAAGCAACTAAGAATAATATGTGGGTTTGTATTACTCTGCATGGAACAAAAGCAAGGGTATTCTTGGACCCAGTTGTACAGCTGTGGATTATTAAGCAAGTGATGCTATTCTGAATGCTGTAAATGCTGGTGCCTTTCTGTAGTCTGTGAAATGTGGTGGGTTTTTTGCTTTCAGATTAGCTGTCTGTAATCCACTTGACAAGTGAAGCTGAAAAATTTGCTGAATTAATGTACTTTTAATAGAATGCATACTGAGGTGGCACTTAAAAGTATTTGGCAATAGGAAACCACGTGTCTTTTCCCCTGTTAAACAGGTGAATCAACACCGCATGCCAAAATAGCTTTACCAAAATCCTCAGTTTTAAGTGTACAGAAACTTTGCTCCTGCACTGTTGTATTTTCATGTTTAAATTCAAAATATATTTTTGTCTACAATATAGCTTACAAAATCCAGCATAACTTGATCTCAGTGTTTTGAAGCCAGTGATGGCAGAGGACATCTGTTGAATCCCTCTGATCCTACTGGTTAGGTAAACTCGTGTGTAATGTGTTGGTACTCATTTTACAGAGAAGACATTCAAGGCTCCTGACAGTGCTAGAACATACCTAGAGAGTCTGTGTGTGGAGAGGTTACCTAAGCAAATTAATTACCAAAGTGGTACCCACTTGTATTACTGAAGTCCTCTTGGATGATGGGATTTTATTGCTTGTCCCTGGCAAAAGCGTGTTGGGTAGGAGCTGCCTTTAAAGTGGACTCGAGGAAAAGACAAAGAATCTTGGATGCTCGATGCATAATTATCTGGGTTATTTAACTGGAGTTCAGCCAATGGCACTACCTCAAAGCCTTTGGTAATTTTGCAGCTAAAACAGCGGGGTTCTTGTACTCTGTCATCTCCAAGTCAACTCAAGGCTTCCTTGGCAAAAGGCGTCATGCTCAGACTGGTGATGTGACCAGGGAACAGTGGACAGATTATCCCTTGACAGTTCTGGTACTTTCTGTGAGTCTCAGGAAGGAAGTGGGGTTTTTATCCAGAACAGGGCTTTGGTGCTGCTGGGGTTTGTCCCGTGTCCTCCCCTTGTTTTTTGCTGAAGACAGGACAGGTCTGTCAGGAAGCTCCCGGAGCCACTAGAGGTTGCTGTTAGATGACTTAAGTGTAACCCTGACCAAAAGCTGCCTCTGTCCTTGATGGAAATACACGCTCTGGGCAATGACTTAATACAGAACAGGGTGTCACAGTCTTGCTGGGCTTAGTTTTGCCGTCACAAGTTTAGATCTCATTCAGTGAGGATGTGATTTCAATGTGTCGCACAAGTGCTTTTATAACTCTGCTCCTCTGGAAAAAAGTTTGAAAAGCTTCATGTACTTCCTTATGATAAACTGGTCTTAACTATGTTATCAGTTTATTTGTCACAGTCAAACTGGATTTCCACCACACTCAAATCTGTTTTAAACAGAGGCTTACTTTTCTGTTTGTTTTCTAACATTGTAGACTTTCCACAGCTAGGGGCTGGACTTATTTGCACTGTAGCTGTAAAAGCTGATAAGCTTGAGTTACAATCTTTTGCAAGGGAAAAACAACAACTTGTTCTTACTCGGATGCTGGAAAAGTTTATCTAAGATGAGCCCTCTTCAAGAAATTGTATTTTTGTTAAGAGCTTGCCGCAATTTCATGACTAAAGTTAATGCTCTCTAAAAGTGTGGATAAAGCCTTGAAGATAAGCAACAGGCTCTGTGCCTTTTCACTGAGCTCCTGATAACTTATTATTTGCTATGGTAACTCTTGTCTTAAAAAACAACTATCTTGGTTCTACCTACGCAGTGCTGTTCATGCGAGCTTAAATATGCTAGGAAGGGGAAACAATATAGGCTGGAATTTTTATTTTTTTTTAACGGCAGGGGGGTTTGGAGTGGGGTATTGCTTTAAGTTATTCTGAGTTGTGTGGACTCTGTCTTCAAATGGCCTGATGTTTCCCCCTGTATCCTGACAGGGAACTGGCTCTCTGCTGCTAGACACTAGCAGATCATACTTATTTAACACTTGATTCTGGCCACAACCAGGAGGCTGGGGTGAGGAAACCTACTAGCCTGATGCTCTTGAAGCTGCCTATCAGTATTTGCCCCTTAGACAAATTGGTGGTGGTGGTATAGCAAATACACCCCCAAGGGACTGACTGAGGCAGTGGTGTGGGCTGGCCGGGGTGCACAGCCCCCTTGGGACTGCAATGAGGTTAATGGCAGTCGCAGCCACACCACTGCTTTGTTTGTTTGTACTTCAGCTTTTTGCAAAGACAAGAAAATCGTACAATTCCCTTACCAGGCCCAGCGGAGCCGGGCTGGCTGCC